ACCTCTGATGCCCAGGTTCAAGAGATTCTCCTGCCTCAGCCTCCCAAGTAGCTGAGATTACAGGCACTTGCCACCCCGCCCTATATTTTTAGTAGAGACGAGGTTTCACCCTTCTGGTCAGGCTGGTATTGAACTCCTGATCTCATGATCCACCCGCCTCAGCCTCCCAAAGTGCTGGGATTACAGGCGTGAGCCACCGCGCACTGTGCTGTAGCCTTAAGCATTCTGCTTTCATTCTCTTGTACTCTGTTAATTTGCTTAATAAACTCTCTTGGTAGACAGTCTGACAGTAAACGTCAAGCCCACTCCTTCAAATGTGCCCTCAAGCCAGCCTCTAATGACATCTGAATCATGTGTGATAAGTATACAATTTTTAATGTATGGCTCAAGCCTCAATATAGAAAAAAGTCAAAAATATATCTATAACCTGAAGACAATTCAGTTTAAAATTGTGTCCTTGTGGCTTTTGTTTATAAACTCATATTGATTTTTTTAAGAAAGAAGACACAGAAACACTAGTTTCTCACAGAGAATTACAGAAGTGCAGTGCCCTCTCTCTTGCATCATGAAAATACATTAAGGTACGACAGAACTTAAACAGGTATCAAATTTAACCTCAGCTAGCTCTCCAAAACACTCTCAATTTAGGGTAACGCAGGGCCTTGAATGTTAACCTGGTCTATTGAGCTCTTAATCAAACGAGCATTTTTCACTCAGAAAGAAAGCCACGCAGCCTCTCAGGTTGTACATGGAGAAAAATCCGCTATGAAAAGCCAGCTGAGTCAACTCAACTAATGGCTCTCCTTGCTTCCCATGCCATCCTGGGGCCTGCAGGCATCCGCAAAGCAGTCGGCTCCTAGAACACCTTCTCTGTTGACTCATTTGTGAGTCATCGAATTTTTAGCACAGACATCACGTTGCAATTCTGTTGTTGGGAGCCAGAGACATTCTGTAAGAAATGTCTGCATTTGCAGAGTTGGTTCAGACCTGTGAGTGGCCACAGCAGCGTAACGACGTGCAGGCACGTGTGTTTTTGTTCACATCCTCCGGGGCTCTCACTACTGACTTTATGTAACCGCACATAACACTGCCATTTACAGCTGCAAATACTTCTCTTGCCGAGGTTCCTTAACAAACTGCTACTCTCAAATTAATTTCTGATAGAACCTTTGTTTCTGTGTTTTCCTTATCACCTTGTCACTGATGAATATATAGTAAAACAAGGAAATTCGGGGGTCAGAATCTGGTACTCAGGAAAATTTGAGGGTCTGTCAGAATCTGGTACACCCCCCGCCCCCCACATTCTATGGAACAGGATTTTCAGTTGTATTTCCACAAAGTTCCCTGGTTCCTGGAGCATTTCTGTTGATGTGTATAAATGCACATAGACTGGTGGTTCTCAACAGGGAATATTTGCCCCCCAGGGGGCATTTGGCAATTTCTGGGCAACTGTTAGTCGCCACAATCAGGGGCCTGCTATTGGCACCTGGTGAGTAGAGGCTGTAGACGCTGCTAAACATCCTACAGGCAAAAGTCATCCCACCACAACAAAGAATTATCTGGCCCAATATGGCCAGAAACCCCGACATCTAAAACAGACATTCCCAAGAAAAATCAGATCACATTCCACATAAATATGGTAATGTTAAGATGGGTAGCGTTAATTCCAAAAAATGCCCCTTCAAAGAGCCATTTGAAAAGATGCAGCCTTTCAAGAAGAAACCAATGACTGTCAGGTTCCCAGCTGGGCTTGATACGGTTCCAATGTTTACAGGGTCCCTGTGGATGCTGTACATTTGTAAGATTGGAAATAACAGACTCCTTTGTAGAATAAATACAGCAATTTGTGTCTTAATGGGAGCTCTGACACACACTGCCTCATTTCAGCGGCACCATGCATGAACCTTTGAAACTTCAAATATCGAAGGCAACATTTTGATAAAGGTTTCTAAATTACAACAAAAAAATATTAACTGGGCATTAAATAGACAACATCAGGAGAACGAGGAAAGAAAAAATCAGCATGGTCATAATAAAGTCAGTGTTACTGGAACCCAGATCTGAGGTGAAACAGTATTCTGTTTTGGGAAATTGATTGCATATTTCACAGGCTGGAGATAAACTCTAACAGCTCCTTTGTTTTCTTCCTTAGACAGAAAAATAATTATTGCTCTGTGGCAAATGGTCTATAAAATAGGAAGCTGTATTGGTAGCTTTATGGCTCCACATTCCCAATTTTCTTTGCTCTCAAGCTAAGTATTCTGGAGAGGAAAAAAATTAAATCAACTGTCTCCAGTTGGATGTCTCCCTGAGATGACAGATGAGACTCAGTCATAAACATCCACAGCAAAAGCAGACCCATCTGTGTTGAACGCAATTAAAGTGCTGCCAGTAACAACGGCTTAAACAGAAGAGCACTCTTTCTCACCTTTAGAGGTCAATGAAGAAGTCGTGTTTCGGAATAAAAAGAAGAAAAACTATGAAGTCTAACTAAAAGTTTGATTAGCAGAAAGAGTGAACTTCACCATGGATGTATGATCATTTATATAGTTTGTGCCATTCCATAGAACCTCCATGCCCTATGTAGTCAACGCTCGGTATCTGCAGGGGATCGGTTCCAGGACCCCCTGCATACAGAAAAATCTGCTCAAGTTTCTTATGTAAAATTGCATAGTATTTGCATATAACCTATACATATCCTCTTATATACTTTAAATCATCTGTAGATTAGTCATAATATCTAATACAGTGTAAGTGCCAGGTAAATACTTGTTATATCATATTGCTTTTTAATTTATATTACTATATTTTGGTGTTTTTGATCTGTGGATGTTTGAATACATAGATGCAAAACCCCTGGATAGGGAGGAAGACTGTATTCTCCCACTCTGTTCAGGCCAAAATCATCAGTAGTATCAGCAAATATTATGTAGTAGAAAGGAGATGCGCAAAGATTTAATTCAGTTGTACAATTTGAAATTTTGATATGATGCTCTTTTAATAGAAATAACTTACAAACTCAAAGAGTTTCCATCTGTCTGATCTTATTTTATCCTCACGGCATGCAGGTGAAGTACAGAAGACAAACATCTTCATCCCATTACACAGATGGGGAAACTGAGTCTCAAGAAAGCTATCTCACTTGTCCAAGGCCACACAAGTTAATGGTGGTGCTAGAACAAGACTCTCTTGGCCCTACACCATGCTGAAGCAGTCACACAGAATATTACAAAAATAAATCTAAAAAAAGAGAAAAGCAGCAGCCCCTGACATCCAATAGGTGGTCTGGTCCTCTTAGCAAGGCCATGCTGTTCTCTGTTGAACAATTTCACAGAATGTCATCAGACAAGACCACTCTGTGACTGTGATGGATCAAGACAAAACAAGACCATTCCCTAATCATGTCTAAACACAGACAAAATATGAATATTGTCCAAGCCACAAAATGACTAAACATCCCTCTCCCCCAACTAATATGAGTGACTGTTGCTTCCTTAGAAGCCTGTCCTCCCTATAGATAAAATTTATTAAGATACCAATTACAGAATTCCTCTTCCTGACAGCATTCTCATCCACAGCAAAGCCTCACTTCCTTAAATCCTCCCCAAATCACCTTACACAAAACACAAATCCTCTAGTAAGTTCTTTCTGACATGCTCTGAGATGCCCCACAGCTCCCCATGGCAGGTGTCCTTTCCCGCTGCGTAAGTAATAAATCCAACTTGTTCAACTACCCATGTGTTCCTGGTGGTCTTTGGGTGGAGGCCATTGATAAGCTTATAGTAAGAACCAAAGAAGCCATGATTCACACTTTGCTTTTTAAACCTGGTTACTGACAGCATTTTCCTAAATCATATGAGAGTAAGAACCCAACAATCCTGAGGCAGCCATGTGAAAACCAACAAGAGAAGAGCCCACTCAGTACGCTAAAATTGAATTATAAATAGGAGAGCCAACTGATCAAATAAACCTATCTCTATGTTTAGAGACATTTTGATATGTTAAAGGTTTTATTGGGCCAATTACCTGATACTTCACAGCTTTATTTCTATTGTAAGCCTGGCAGTCAGAGAAGGGAGTCAAACGGAAGGGATTGAATGAGGTACAGAAATTCTGATCGGATTTACCTCCCCCAGGTCAATATCCTCATAAAACCTAAAGCTATGTACCAATGCAAAGATACTGGCCGTGTTAATGAAACATTCCAATTCTTTCTGTCAAAGGGTAGAATTTTGAATGATGCAGTAATAATACCTACCAATTTCAAAAGGAATTGCTAAACTTCTAAGAAAACTGAATTATAGACTGTATCTAGATTACATCAAAATATCTAGTTAAATAGCTTTTTAAAACTTTTTTAAAATCTAGCCGATCATCCAGAGATTCTGTCTGCATCACATCAAATTATCCTGAATTTCTGAATTTTTGATTGAATAAAGAAGCCATGTTGTCACCATGAAGCTTTCTTCTTCACAGATGGCTAAATAAGCAGGGTAAATAATCATAAAGATTGTCATGAAAACTGGTGTTAAAATAAGATTGAGATGTTTTTCAAGTAGGACATGTTTGAAAATCAGAAAAATCAGTCAGCTAGATGCTTCAAGTTCTCCAAAAATAAAACCCAAAGTATTTTGAATCCAAAAGGAATGTCCTATTGTCCTATTTTAACATCATCACACCATAATTCCATTTATCCTTCTTAATTTCTGTGCATTTCTGGAAACAAAACCTAGACCCATCAGATCTCTCGGATGCCAGCTGCCTTCAGCACTCCACCAACAATGGCCTCCAAGTTGCATTGCAAAAATCTTCCCAAGCACCCATTATTGAACATTTTCTCATAATCTAAACCACATCACCTTTTACCTGTGACCCACAGGCTCTACTCAGAAAATCTCTGAGTTCCTACTCTTCAAATTTGCTATTAAAATTCCAATCTGTCCATATAAAATACAAACAATATGTTTGAGATTTGTTGGAGAAACGCCAATTCTACTCACCACATTTTTTCCTTCATTTTGGGCATCTCGATAATCAGGATTAAGCTAGAAAAACAAAGGAAGATTAGTTTTTCATTGCTATGAAAGGCATGTTAACAAGACCAGTGATCTTCAATTCAATTAATTATTCTATCCTCAACTAAATTTAATATAAAAAGAAGCTAAGAAAGAAACTATCAGGAAATATGACAATTTAAAATATTACCATCAAACCCTAGTTGCAGGAGACAAAAGCTAACATGCCAAGTTCATTGCCTTGGTTTCTATCAGAACTGTAGACATCTTTGAAGAAGTAAGAATTGACCATATCACCTCCTCTGGAAAAACATTCAACAGAGCTCACCATTTTACCCTTTGCAACAAGTGCCATTTACCAATAACTCAGACACAAATTGAAATTTAAAAAAAGGGAAATTGATGATTTGAGATCGTGCTTTACATGTTATGCACACAAAGAAAAGGAAAACGAACCAGAACAAAAAAGGAGCTACGTATCAGGTATGTGAGCAAATACATGAGGACTACTGAAACTAACAAACACATGTCTTCAGGCTTGGATAGTGGCATTTTGGGGCCAATCTGATGACAAAGATGAGTTCTGGATGTGTTGAGTACGGACCCTTGCGTCATGTGGCTGATTGAAATCCATGACTCCTCACTCCCACTTGTCCTCAGTCTCAAAGCGATTCTTAGTTGTTCTGAACTAGTTGATCACTCATAAAGCAATAGATGTATGAGGTGTGTTTCTTGAAACATCAAGTTGTCCAATTGAATTTAATCATTTTAATGTGACTCAACTGGTGTACACAATGCACAATCCCCGTAAAGTTACCATTTAAAACGTAAGGTCAGGAGTCTTCCTCATAATACCATTTATCTAGCAGCTCTGAGAATTGCCCCTTCCAACTTATCACTAAATACCAATGAGGGTTCTGAAAAAACCAAAAGCAAAGCAAAATGAAAGGAAAAAATCTCCCAATCTCATTAAGAACTAAGGCTGAAAAAACAACCTAAATTCCAAATCTTCAATGAACTGATGCTAATTATAAAGTAGATAGTTCTTGGGGACAGGCAGGTAATGACCCGGTTTTTATCACGTGGCAAACTTCAACGTCTCTTTAAGCTAGTGGCCATGTAAACAAAGATAAGAAGATACTGAGTCAGTTCGAACGCTGACGTAGAAAACCAGAGAATTTACCGACCAAAAACCTATAGAGAAGGGTTTCTCTATCACTGGCAAGCTGCCGTGAAATTACGCAGAAAACTGCTTCCCTAATCTGCTACCTGTCTCTGTCTTTACATGACCAAAGAGATGCCCAGAAAACAAGTGGGCAGAAAGTGGAGGGAAAAGATGATGGCCAAGGCCTTTCTGGGAAGCATGGTGTGAAGAGAGAAAAGGAATGCTGTATGCTGGAACGACATTGCATGATGATACAGAAATAGCAAAGGGGTAGGACACAGAAGCAAAGCAACTGCTGTTGAGCCCGGGTATGTAGAGTCCATAGAATCCACAGAGTCCATGTCTGCTCAATCTGGGAACTGCACTGCAAGTGCACCCATCAGCCAGTCCCGCAGCTGAACATTTAGAAAGAGGATTGAATTGTCACACTAGAGAATTTAAAAATGGAACGAAAGGACAATCCACTCAACCCTCTGGTTCTGCGCAGAGCTCACTCATCTGAGGATAACAAGGAAAGAAGGAAGGAAGGAAAAAACAAAATAGGACTGATGGAACACTAAGTTAGAACAAGGGAAATTCCTTCTCAGAGTCTCTCTCAACATTTCCTATGATATGATGCAAAACGAATTTTCAGGAAATGGTTTGGCATTCTCAGGAAAGTACAAATAAACATGACCTCTACATAAAGGCAACAAAATAACATAAAGAGTTAAAATTATAGTATAGAAACCATATATTGCCAGGCATGGTGGCTCATCCTTTAATCCCAGCACTTTGGGAGGCCAAGGTGGGTGGATCACCTAAGATCAGGAGTTCGAGATCATCCTGGTCAACATGGTAAAACCCCATCTCTACTAAAAATACAAAAATTAGCTGGGCATGGTAGCGGACACCTGTGATTCCAGCTACTTGGGAGGCTGAGGCATGATAATTGCTTATACCCAGGAGGCAGATGTTGCAGTGAGCTGAGATTGCGCCATTGCACTCCAGCCTGGATGATGAAGTGAGATACTGTCTCAAAATAATTATAATAATATATACATAATAAAATAATAATATAAATAATACAATATAAGAGAAGTTAAGGAACATTTCAATATACATGAAAACATAAATACAAAATTAAAATTCACATTAGCACTAATAGAAAGCATAGTTACAGAAAATCAGCAATGCAGAGGATAAGCAGCTGAGCGGCTACCCCTCCATACAGAAGGAAGGGATCCAGAAATGAGAATTAGGAAAAAGAAAATGGTCACAGACAACCAGAGAAGGGACAACCAACTAACGGGAGACCATTAGACCTCTCAAAATGAAGAAAGAATAAGTGGAACACAAGTAATAATCAAAGATAATAGAAGATAAAAACCTTTCCTCAGCTGAAGAAAGAATTGTGTATGCAGAGGTTACCCTATCCGTGGAAATCAACCACAAAAGATTGACACATTCATTTGAAGATGATAAGGGGAAAAGGCAGAGAAAACAGTGGTAGGGACGTAAAACAGAGCCAGAAATTAGGCTAAGATTTTAAAAGCATTTCATGTAAGAGAAGAATGATAAACTAAATGTGGTATATTCAAACGATGGAGTACTACTCGGCAATGAACATGACGAGCTTCTCATGCAAGCAACAACAAGAATGAATCTCAAAAACGTTAAGTAGAGGAAGGCACACACAAAAAACAATGTACTGCATGATTCCATTTAAATGAAATAAACAAACAAAACTACACTATGGTGAAACAAATCAGAAAATGAGTACGGGTATGAGGGAAGGGAGTAAGGATGGAAAGCAGTACCCAGCCCAAGAGTCTCATGACAGCAGTCTTTCAGTTTTCAGAACTGACACACAAGGAAGGTAAGAAGATACAGGTCACCTGTTAATCCTGGGACAGCTATTGAGGGTACTTGAGGCTGGCCTTTGTCTACAGAGACCCCGACTTTCCCTCAGACTCCTTAAGTTCCCTTCAATTACGAGTAACAGAATTAGTTCCAAGAATCCAAGAGTAAAAGGTAGAGGGCAAAGAGTGAGTTAACTGGCCTCCTTTCTACTGATTAAAGAAAACATTTTCACTGGGAAGTAAAGAAAATTCTAGCACAGTGTTCAGAAGAAGTTTATTCACCTATTTTAGTCAAGTTTCACCATAGCTTTTAAAAACTTTGTTTTCTGTTTGAAAAATTTCAACTTTTCTTTTAAATTAAAAAAAATCCATACTAAAATTTTAGCTAAATTATATCCAAATGATACGCAACATGTTCAACCAAGGATGTACCTTATGGCCCAAGTTTTCACTCAGTACACATTAGAATGGTTATTACAGATACTTTAAATTCATGCTGGAAACCATGATATATCCCTCACTAAAACACGCACAAAAACAGGAATTAATGTACCTACATTAAACACAAAATAAAATAATTTATGCTCTCTGAAACTTAGATCATATATTCTACCCCAAAGACAATGTTACCTTCTAAAATCAGTCTTTATGTATTTCCCCCGCTTAGGATTACCCATCCCTGACTGGCTGTCTGGGAAAGTGAATTCCAGTCTCTGCTCTATAAGGAACCACCAGCGTCTTTAGGAAAGGTGGCCTAATGCCCATGGAACTCAGTGTCCTCATCTGCAAAATGAGAAAAAGACTATGACTAAACCATGACTCTATGTCAATAAATTTTACAAATTCATATCTTTGGCAGCAAAACTACAGATGGTGCCAATCAGTTAGATTTTGCCTCATCTGTGTCTCTCAGGCTGCAATATGATTTTTTAAATAATTAACATAAAGGGATTACCTCAGTAAACTCAATAAAGTATAAATAATAACAATAATGATGAGGAAGAAAAGGAAGAGGAGAAGGGAAAGGAGGAGAAAAAGCCACCCAAATAAATTCAGGGCCATATAAATTTACTAACATTAACTATTAAAGGCCAAATAAATATATGCTTTAAATTATACTGCTGCTTCCCATCTCTAAATAGGATAATAGCCGTAATTATCAAAGAGACTATAAGATGAATGGAAAAAAATTATTTTTTAAAGAAGCAGGAAAAAGACATGGTCATATGGAGGTCTTTTAGGACTCAAAGTCTTTATGTTAAAAAAATAAATTATAAATTTGGCATTGGAGAGCTAATATGCCATTCAATCATTTATTCAATAAATATTAATAGAGCATCTATAATAGGCAAAGCATTGCAGCATATGGTATTTTAGCAAAGACAAAGAGAATATGGTCCCTGACCATAAGACATTACAACCTAGGAGGGAAAATAAGACATAAATACAGTCAGCTGAAATACAAAATAAAATGTGACAAGGGACATAAGACAGGAATGAATAATTTATAAATAATATAGGTCAGAGGAAGGAGGGATCTGTGGTGGGCAAATTTATTCACAAATTATTCATGGAGAAGGTAGCATTTGAGATAAGCCTTGAAGGACAGGTAGAATTTTAACTGGCAGAGCAGGAACGAGGGAGTGAAGAAGGCAGCAAGGCTGGAGGGGCCACTGCCATATAGATGAGAAAAATGAGACTTCTATAGAGAAGACCTATTGGTGTCACTTATGAAATACTTTTTTATACTCTCTTAAAGGTTAATTCATTTAACCTTACAATTATACTATAAGACAAGATTCTTAACACAGTTTACAGACGAGGCACTTGGAGCACATCAACTGAAGTGCTTTATGCAAAGTCACACCACTGGGGAGTGGCAGGGTGGGCAAGCACAGGTCTAAGGGCTCCAAAGCCACATCTTTCAGCTCCTGAAGCATGCTGCTTCCCTCCTGCCTCCATAAAGCAGAGAGGTGTGATGCAAGCTGGGAAGGAGGGTCAGCCCAGACCATCCAGGCCTTTAA